CCGCGAGTGTCGAACGTGTAGTTCGACGAAATAAAGTCCAAAACAGTATAAAAATTCGAAAAATTTGATCAGGATGCACGTTTTCAAGATTGATAATAGACCCCTTGCACGTGACGTCATCAAAACAAACGGCGGCCATGTTGGCATCATTGGTGCGACGTGGTTACGGCGTGGAAAGTTCAGTTTAGAGAGAGCTCCAACATTTTTACACGAAAATGGTGAATTATTGTAGGGTAGTCGGATGTACTAACCGATCTGATAGGGAAAAGGATAAGAAATTCTTTCGACTACCTGCTGTTATAACCAATCAGGGAGAGGATTGTAGAAAATTGTCAGAAGACAGGAGACGCCAATGGCTGGCAAAGCTAAATCAAGATTTCTCTGACAAAAATGTGAACAACATTAGGGTCTGTTCTGACCATTTCATCTCCGGTAAGAGAAATAATTAATATACAATAGCTAGTAATTTTGTTGTCATTTAACTGTAAGTAGAATAGTACTAGTATTAGTAGGTAGTAGTAGTAGCACTGCTGCCACTAGTAAGTAGTAGTCATTTCGTTGGTAATTTGGTTTAAATACTTAGGCTGGTGTAGGGAAATACTGACTTTAATGGGGAGAGTTTTCAATCATTTATCAAACATGACCAGTTCATGTATACTCGCCGCATACACATGATTAATTTAGGATTATTTTTCTTCAGGAAATATATCTGCATTGTACCCACATGAACACCCTGACTGGGTTCCCCATGTGAATGTTGGCTGTTCCAAATCACCACAAGTCATAGGTCAGCGATACCAAAGAAGATACAACAGAAACAGAAAAAAACCGAAGCAGCTAGAACCCTTCTGGATCTGCAGAGCAGTGCAACAGACCATTCTGACTATTTAGTGAACGAACATGAGAAGTGTATCCCAGAGGAGAGTGGCGTTCACACCCAGACAGATGTTACTGGACCTCTGTATGACGCAACCTTATCTGACCTACAGACTCTACGAACGGAGAACATTGAGTTTAAGAGCCAGATGAGCACATCCGAGCGTTTCACTAAGAAGGATTTTGAGGGAAATGATGAGAAAGTTAAATATTTCACAGGGCTACCGACTTTTATTATGTTACTGACCATATATTCTTCCTTGGAGCAGTTTTTACCTAGCTGTTCCTCTCTGTCCAGATTTCAAATGTTTATGATGACGCTTATGAAGTTGAGACTTAATCTGTCAAGTCAATTTTTGGCATATGAATTCAGTGTGTCAAGCTCAACTGTGTCACGGCTTTTTTCGACTGTTGTGAATGTAATGTATGTTAGAATGAAACCCTTGGTGATATGGCCAGATAGAGAAATTTTAAGAAAAACTATGCCGATGCAATTTAGAAAGTATTTTGGAACAAAATGTGCAGTGATCATAGATTGCTTTGAAGTGTTTATTTAACTCTAATACTAACCACAATCTAAACCTACCACTAATTATTTAACTCTAACCTAACTCTAATACTAACCACAATCTAAACCTGCCACTAATTATTAACCGACTCGGTTTGCTTATAGTTATATAGGCGAATGATAGTACCAAACACTATACACGCGCAACGCATGTATGGAGGGGCGTCACAGCCGTAGGGCTGCGTAGCAAAACGCAAGGCAAAAAGCCTAAAGGGCAAAATATAATTGCCTAATATAATATAATATAATAAAATTTAGAGCGTCTAGATTTTAAAATTGGCTGGGGGTAAACCCCCCAGACCCCCCTTCACACTTAATTCCTATCTCCGGCACTAGAGGCCGTGCGCCTGCGGCACGCTACATCAACAACTGCTCGGACGAATAGCGCATACGAACAGGTGTCCGATGCTCGGACGAATATCCACGTCGTTCTTAAAAATCGACAGGGGTGTTGTTGTCAACGATTGGTGAGCTCGGTTCATGAACCGTGTTGGCACGTGAACCGAGTTGACACGTGAGCGTTGTCAATGACAATGTCAATGTTGAGGGTGTTGTTTCTTAATTTCGCCCGAGAACCTTATCGCCTAGAATCAGTGATGCGGGGAGGTTAGCCACTACATATTGATTAATGTAAACCTGTTAAAAATTCTAAATTGCGAACTGTGTTATTTCAAATGAAAACAAAACACATAGCATCGTCATATTATGTCATATCGGTACGAAGCTAAACAAACTTTTAGTGGTGGCTGCCATGTCTGCTCTTGTGAATTTCCGACGCAACAGAAAATCAAAACTCGTTCCGACGGTATTCACTATAGCTTCCTATTCCGGTTTAATGCATAGAATCCAAACAAATCCTGCTATTCAATTTAGATATTCAAGTATAAAATATTTTTATTCATTATTTTCGGCAATTGTGCGGAATATTTATTATTTAACACCTACTGAAACACTAAGTGTAATAATTAATATTACTCCATTTCTGGTTTTCTTCCCCCTAGGCGCCGAATAGACTGGTATTCGCTCCCACCTTGATTACTCGATTTGGATTTACCCCATCGAGTAACTAAGCCGAGAGGTGGGACCGGGTACCAGTCTAGGTGCCGATACCGATAGCACTTCTATCTCTCCGCTAGAAGGCGGGTTAAACGCTAACAAAAACGGCTCTGATTAACTAATTTTGTCTTTTATATATTTTATTGTTCATTATTTTTGGCTAAGTTTGTTTTATTTTAAAATTAGGGATAGGGTTAGGATTAGGGTTAGGGTTAGGGTTAACTGATTTCTATATCCACAACTTATTTCTATATTCACAATCTCTCCCCTGAGACCCTACGATAAAATTTAGCACTGAGCTAGGGCAGTACTACTCTGTGGGCAGTGGGGGAGGGGAGCAAGGGAAGGGGTAGCTGCACCATACGTTTTGGAGCAAAATTAAAAAAATAAGCTTAGCTAATAATCGTAAATAACACTAACGTAATTTTTTGGTAACTTAATATTTCTGAAAGCCTAATTGTCTCAGACCCACTCATAGACCTATCAGAGGACCTATGTATATATCAAGAACTTTTAAACTTTTAATATAAATTAAGTAAACCATAGATATATACAACACATTGTGTTGTATATATCTATGAGTGAACTAATTCTAGTGATACATGTCTAGATATTCACAATACATTATAATAATTATTGAACAAAAACATTCAACAAACATATAAACTTAAATCATAAACTTCAACATTATATCATGATAACATGAAAAAAAATTAAATTTTTAAATATCAAGTCAACCAATTCTACTGATATAAATATTCTGCATAGACATTTACAATTAATTGTAATAATTTCTGATTAAAAATAATCCAGAATAACAAAATTATTATATAATACTATACATGTTTACATATAACCATATATAACAGGGACGGATCTAGGGGGTCAGGACCCTCCCCTCCCCTTAATTTTAAAGTGCCTTAAAAAATTAAAAAAAATTAAAATTTGGAATTCCATCTTGCGTTCTAGGCATCAAAATTACTGCTCAGATGCTCTCAGAATGCACCAATTTAAAAAAAAATATTGGGGGAGGTCCCCAAAACCCCCCTAAGTAACAATTAACGTATCTTTGGCACGTCGCATAAGCTTTAAAACACCAGAAAAATTAAGCAGGAAAAAGTGCCATTTATTGCTTCCTGGACACCTTTCAAAAATCCTGGATCTGCCCCTGTATAATCAAGAACATCGATCATTACTCTATGAAATATCAAATTGATAACAAAAACATTCAATTTTAATTTAGTCTACTTTGCATTATGAATCTACTATACATGTACATACTACATATATAATTATATATTATTATGAACATAGTATTCAATATTATACCTGTTATGTCCTCGCACCTCGGCTCTATACCCGGGCTTCGAAATTGGCGCACATCTCTACTGCGGACAGCGCTTCATACTTGAACATCCCCGCGGTCGCGTGCGCATATCCCACGGAACTGCGCGTCTCATCCGCGCGCAGCACTTAGGATCAACAGCAAAGCTGTGCCACGCAATCTTGTATCATGTCTCTCTGGTTTGGCTTTCCAATCACAAGATTGGGCAAACTGAAAACAGTCGGGGATTCAACAACCGCTCATAGCGAGTGTGTGGTGTGCGTGGTGCAAACTAAGAAGAGATTCATCTCATATTTATCCAATTATTTATTATAATTATTTAATATTTATACAAAGGTGCCAAACACATTGAGGAAAGAAGGTATACGACCTTATAGTCAGGCCCGTAGCCAGGGGGGGTTCGGGGGGTTCGAACGAACCCCCCCGGCCCCAAGCAAAAAAATTATTTTTTTTTAAATTTGCAAGAATTTCACCTCAGGTCGCTCTATTTTAGTGTAATAATTGCAAAATCTCCATCGTGCGGGAGCGTGAACAGTGAACACCCCCTCCCGCAACCCTTCCCCCCGCTCGTCGCTTCGCGCCCGATGAGCAGGGCGTGTACAAGGGGGGTCAGGGAGTCTGGACCCCACCTGCTCTGCGCAGAACCCATCTGAGGGGGTGTAAATTTTAAAAAATTTCTGGGGAGGCCGCCCCAGACCCCCCCTTCACGATGCTCGCAACTTCGGGTTACGGTTAGACCCCACCTGGTACAATCCTGGTTCACGCCCTGCCGAGCAAATTGGCCAACATTGAAAAACGAACCGCCCCCAATACGAAAGCTTGGCATACGGGCCTGTTATAGTTATGATATAAGCATTTGAAATCCTAATAAGTCATACGTTTCGTGCAAGCTGTTGCTACACTCTGTTTGCCAATCTCAACTTCAATGCTAGTTCCACAACTGCGGATGCGCTATAAAATTCCAAGTTCTTGTGCTAAGATTCCAAGTTTGGGACACAACGATACGTTTAGTCCCGTTATCTCGTAAGTTCTTACTTTCTATATAAAAAAGAATGGCATACAAATTTTTTTTAATCCTTTACCATAGAAAATTCGCTGACGTAAGTCAATTAATCTAGGTTCATACCAGAGTTAAATTTAACTCGAGTTGGCATATATTCTAATTAGAGTTAAATGTTAATCCTACGACTGGTGAACAGGCATTCTCATGAGGGAAGCCGTCATCCGTGATCCACATCCAGCTCTGTTGGAACCGGTAGACGGTACCCAGTCCACCTCTCGGGCTGTAGGACTCAAGCATACTCTCTCGGCGAAGTAATCAAGGTCGGGAGCGCGACCAGTCTATGAACTCAGGGGTCCAGGCTTGTATACTTTGTATTTGGTACCCTCTCATTTATTTCACAAGGACTCAATTCTAACGTAGATATGTTGCGGTGATACCTATTTACTTAGTATTCTATGTGCCTTACGTAACTTATCAATATACTATATGAGGTATCTAGAGAGAAGAGATTTTGAGCGACCCCCGTTCTACTAGATATTATGTTTCTAGTCACCAGTATTTCCCGTCTGGCGTAATCTAACTCTGCGTTTAAAAGCCTTGTGGTTGCTCCATCCAAGTTCTATTTTTGTCCTCCTTACATTTATTGTATAATGTATTTACAATTATATAATTGTTTCCATGTCTTTTTTTATATCTTGTAGCATAATATTACACATTATTGTCACTAAAATTATTTTTAAAGTAGCCTTTTGAGATCAATCATACACGTTTTCAATTTAAATGCAGAAAACACGAATCAGTAAAATTGATAACTCTTTTAATGATCCTTCAATCCGATGTTCCAATATGTTTTATCATGTTCATTTTTGTTTTATCAATAGATTTTTTCCAATTTTTCTCTTTTAGATTACTTTTTTAGAATGGCATCTTTGACTTGTTTTAGTTCCAAGCCTCCTTTTGTGTTTTTATTCCTTATGGCTGTAAAATGACACTTCCAGTCTTGCGTCTCCTCCTTAGGATTACTATATAATCTTATTTCCCCAATTCTTCCGCTCCCCTTTGATTTGTGTATAAATACTTCTCTCATTAAATCCTGTGATTTAATTCTATTGTTATTTAGGGCTGTAACTATGTATTGTGCAGTAGCATGAGTTTTTGTATCTTATTTATCTGCTCATTGGTTAAATTGCCTTAACTCTATCCTTAGTGCGCTTCCAGCGGTATTGTTTTACCTGTATGTGAGCTTGTATTATTTTGCGCATGTAAACCATAAATCACACAAACATTGCAAACACTTGGGAAACCCAATAGTATACAGGTGCGCGGATAGGCTTTCAATTCTCTGATATCATTGCTTTTCTCATGCAACACAGCTTGAGCGTGGCGACCGCGAAAACCTGTGCGCTAGAATTCCCGGCATGTCAACTTTACCCCCAAGTCCTTTTTCAAAGCATGGCCTCGGAAGCGAATTGACGATATTTCTTAACTTTATCTATTGATAACAACCTCTATCGCCTGTTTTGTTAATATAACCGTCCGTTCTACTATGCGTGAGATATTTAGATTTTACACCAAGACGACTAATAGGTTCTGCATTAAGGTTGGTATCCTCGGCGCAGAAGTATTCTGACATTGATCATTGTATAATAGCTCCGCCACTCGCCAGCAAACGATCCAGCCACAGCACTTTGGCTGGAGGGGTCTTAGCTCTAAAGTACTATATCCGTCATTAAACTGGGCCGCTGGTATAGACCGACCCATGGCGGATACAATCGGACCAACGGTTACTCCAGCCCAGTCAGCGGCGATGCTATGTTATTTCCGCATGTAGAGGTGGTGGGCGTGTGTGGTTGTCTGGACAAAACATTGTTGTTTGGTCAGAGTAACAATATTAAACAATAGTATTTCTTCATCTTTCATGACTAAAACTAATATTTACAATCTCGTTTGATTGCGCTTAATTTGTTACTGATCCAACAACAGATGGTTATTTGTCCACGAGACCTCCCGCAATCCGCCCCCCCTCCACATGCGGGAATACATAGATTCCGCTGGACTGGCGCTCTGCATGCATGCGCCGCCAAATGGACCGTTTGAAGTTGCGCAAATGCGAAGATGTTTGGTTACAAGAAATCACCGGCAAGGGTATACATCGAGGTGCAACGATAGGTTAGAGGTTCAATTCTTGGAAGTAGGCGTGCTATAACTTAAGGACATATTCAACCTTCTGGAAAATAGGGATTTAATTGCCTACCACAGACGTTTATTAGTCAGGGTAGTAATCGGGCGATATAGTATGGGTTACATTGTCAAATTGGCCCCATTGGGGTCGGACGATCTATAGTCCCAGCGGCAGTTAATGTACGCGGCTATGAAGTACATAGAGCTAAGAGGGGCATAACCTCTGATTACTATGCGCAGTTCAGATACGGGAGCGTTTTTCGGCCCGAGAGAGAGCTAATTACGCCCCGTGCCAGATTTCTCGAGGATACCGCAGCGTCACATCGACCGTTCTGTTGGCCCTGATAGCCTAATTAAGGCCCGCTCCAGATTTCGGTCCCATCGGAAAACGTCGGACCAAGCGGCCAGCCAAATTATCTGAAGCACCAGCTTTTCGTCGAGCGTAGAATCGGGTTAGCGGAGATACGCGGGCGTAGGGTTGTTCGAACGTGTTAGTTGCGACGAAATAAAGTCCATAAACAGTATAAAAATTCGACAAAATTGTGATCATGATAGCCGTTCAAGATTGATAGATAGACCCCTGCCACGTGACGTCATTAGAAGAAAACGGCGGCCATGTGGCATCCATTGGTGCGGACGTGCGTTACCGCGTTTGAGATAAGTTTGCGACAGTTTAGAGGGCAGAGCCTCCACATTTTTACAGGCGAGAAGATAATGGAGGGTGAGATTATTGTAGGAGAGTGAGTGAGTCGGAATGTCTAAACCATCTGGATAGGGAAAAGATAAGAAATTCTTTCGATACCTGGCCTGTTATAACCAATCAGGACGAGGATGTGTAGAGAAATTGTTCAGAAGACAGGAGAGCAATGGTGGCCAATAGCTCAAATCAAGATTCTCTGGACAAGAATCAGGAAAACATGGCAGGGCTCTGTTCTCACCATTTCACCCGTAAGAGAATATAATTAATTATACAATAGCGAGTATTTTGTGATTGGGTCAGTTAGACTTGTAAAGTAGAAGAGCTACTGAGGTATAGAGTAGTAGCTCAGTGAAGCACTGCTGCCACTAGTAGGAGGTAGATAGTTAATTCGTTCCGGTAATGTTGTTTTAAAATTTACTTAGCTAGGTGTAGCCGTGGGATCGATACTGACTTTCCAAGTAGGTGAGTGATGTAAATCAGATTTGATTCCTAAGACAATACTGACCGTTGCACATTATAGAACTCGCGAGACATACAACTATGATTTAATCTAGGATTCAGTTGTTCTTTGTCTCAGGATAATATATGCTGGAATTGTAGCACCTACTATGAAACACCTAGACTGGGTTCCCATGTGAATTTTTGGCTGTTCCAAATCACCAGAAGATCATAGATTTGGTCAGCGATATATTACGCGCAAAGTAAATACACAGAAAAGAACGAAAAAACCGAACAGGCCTGAGAACCCTTTTCTGACGATCTGGCAGGAGGGCAGATAGGCCAACAGACCAATTCTGGAACTTATGTTTACGTGAGACGGAACATTGAGAAACGTGAGAGAATCCACAGAGAGAGAGGGATAGATAGGGGAGAGAAAATGTAGGCAGAGACGTTCAGTTCACGTCCAGACACGATTTGTTTACTGGGTGCTCTGGTGTAATTTGTTTGGTAGATTTGTGGCATCGTCTGTTTTATCTCTTTCTAATCAGTAACTCTCAAGAACTGTCGTTTGGTTAGAATACAACAAGTGCAGCAATTCATTGTAAACAGTTTTTAAATAGTGCCAGATGAGTAACATCCGAGCCGTTTGTCTTATTTAGAAGATTTTGAGGACAATGATGAGCCCAAAGTTTAAATCATCTTCTTCCTTGGGAGCAGTCTGAGTGCCTAGCTGTTTCTCTCCTTGGTCCAGATTTCAATGTTCATTTGATGACGCGTATGAAGTTTGAGACTTAACTTGGCGAATCAGATTTACTGGCCATATGAATTCAGGTGTGTTAAGCTCAACTGTGTCACGGCTTTTTTCGAGCTGTTTGTGAAATGTAATGTAGTTTAGAGATTAAACCCTTGAGTGATATGGACCAGATAGAGAAATTTTAAGAAAAACTATGCCGAGGCAATTTAGAAAGTATTTTTGGGAAAGAAATGTGGCAGCTGATCATTAGATTGTTTGAAGTGTATTTATTGGAAGGACCGTTTCTTGCATATCTCAGTTTGAAAAGGCTAGGCTGAAACATCATCGGTTTCTTACAGAGCACCATATATACGGTGAATTTTTGCATCGGTAATAACACCGCAAGGCACCTGTTTCATTTAATATTCAAAGTCCTGGGGTGGTTCGAACAGTGACAAGCACATTACAGATAAACTGTGGCTTTTTACATGAACATTTGCTTGGAGAACTTGAATTACTTGCAGAATGGTGGTTGTTGACATTGCACCAGTCGTTGGTAGTATGTGTGTGAAGGTAAAGATCACTACTTTACAAAGGGGAGGAATCAGCTATCCCCCCTTGACATAGAAAGCACAAGGAAAATAGCCCATGTGCGAATACATGTAGAAAGAGTAATAGGGTTAGTTAGGCAGAAATATACAATATTACAAGGTACGTTACCAATCGATTTTCTAATGTGCAAAGATGGTGAGTTGCCAACTATTGACAAAATTTCTGTTGTGTGTTGTGCACTTGTGAACTTATGCGAGTCAGTAGTTGATTTTAACTAGACGGACAGGTGTTGCCTTAACTCCATTGTGGCCTATCGAGGGGTCACTACATGTTTTGATGTTATGGTGTCTACAATTTCTTGATGCAGTTTCCCTTAGAATTTACACTTCAGATGTTGTACATAAATGTATACGACCAGCTGTTCAGTACATGTTGTGTTCTTAGAATAAAAATAAAAATTTCCATTTTGAATAGGCTGTAACTCTTTTGGTACACGGGTGTGTATATGATGTGATTTAGAATTATAGATAGATTAAATATAAAGCATAGATTTACACAGATGTGTGATTAGCAAACTAATGTAATTTTCATCAAAAGCAGTACACCAAAACAGGACAAGACTCCACACAACCTAATTATGGTCTACTAGATTAATACTAAATAAACAAGTCTTGAAACACCACTATGTCTATGCTACTAATCACGATGAAAACTAGTGCCAAGAAACTTTCTTATAGATGCTAGAAACAACACTGTCAGAAACAAGTCCGTGAAACATACACTACGATGCAATACAATTCATTTTAATCTAAACTACAGCAATATCACAATTTTTATTTACATCACATATTTCGAGTTACGGACACGGTTTGGTAACTTTGCGTTTAATGAGAGCCATTGTTTTTCTACAATCTGGACAAAACCATTTGCCCTTTGGTGCCGAAGTAATCTGTAAACACGTGTAGTGAAACCAGCCGAGTTTACAGTTTTGATTGTCACAACCAATCATTCTTCCGGACTCCACTTGCCCACAGTAACACCAGGTGTTATCATCACTGGCTTGGCGGTTAACTCGGGAGGAATCACAAGGCAGTGATGTCAGTGGTGTGAGGGTATTTGAACACCGTGAATAAAATTTGCCAACGAGTTCTGGCAAGATAGCCAGTTGAAAAATCTGCTTCGATTTCTGGCACATTTCCTTCCACAGACAATCATCGAACATGATCCGTTCAATGTGAATATCACGTTCCGTCCAAACAACAAAGTAACAAGCCTCCAAATTTGCTGCACCCATCTGTGTTTGGATTTGGTAGTAGTGTGCATGCTTAGCATCAAGCATCACCTGTCCATCTGGTCCAGGTTTCAGGAAGAATTTCGGATCGCTACAGGCACCCAGTGTTTGGTCCTTAATACAGTACGGACATTTAATCTCTAGACAGCTTTGACCACAGCAGTCACACCACACAAGGCCATCTGGTGATGCAGCTATGTACGGGTGGTCACTACAAATCACCAGCCCACTGTCCGCAATAGTGACATTTTCATGGAACTGGCTAAGCTCCTGAAGAAATCTGCCACGTGCAAGTTTTTCATGTTCACAACCCCACTTCGTAGCCGCAGTCGTGAATGGTTTGCTGTTTGGATAGCAAACCGATTTAATCAGGCTCTGCGAAGGGTTAGTCGGGTCGGTAACACAAACAGCTTTCATTTTTGATGCTGTGATCCTACCAGACCTGAACTGAAACCACATTCGTGAATTAGCCTGTTCACGGGTTGCTCCCTCCACTCGTTCTGCTTCCTCACTGGAGACCTCAATGTTTATGTCAGCACATTTCTCCAGCAGGTCTTTATAGTTGAGATGGAATGTGCCTTCATCTCGAAGTTCCGTCAGTACGGTGGGGTACTGCGTTGTTACTGATGCTGGTATATACTCCTCAGCGTATGGCTCAACTACTGACAGTATTGCGGACTTTACGCCAGTCGCATGTATCTGTCCAAATAAGTCTGCCATATCAGAAGGTGTCGGTTCTGGGATCGTTTTCCTTGAAACGCCACGGTTGAGTCCCCTAGGAGTTTCCGGACTTCTGCATGCACTGTCAAATTTTCTTTTCAGTGATTTCGCAGAAGTAAAATCAATACGCCGTATTTCGTTGTAGCACACATTCGACGATGTCGATGGAAGCATCCAGTATGCAGGTTCCTGTGTAACTGTCCTGGAGTCCCGTAACTTCACAGTGCCTTCCACGGTAAACAACAGTGCACCAACATGCGTGCACGCTTCCCCCAGTCCTGCCATGCAGTTGCAGTGGGCTGCTAAAATCACGCCATCTTTTTCGGCTATAATCCATGGCCTCAGTGCCTGGTCTCTCAGTCGTTGGGAATGTAGGACCTGTATGAATATTTTAAAAATGATATAAGGAAAATGCCAAGTTCTCGCAAATCATTTCTTCCCCACCCCTTCCCCTGCTACAACACCCCCTATCTCTCTATTATCTTAGATTACTTTATCATTAACTCTTCCTCTACTCCACCCCAATGTAATGCAAAATATATATAAGTCATCCAGTCTGTGGACGCTGGTAGAAAACACTAAATAATTCACAATGTCCGGATACGTTATCCTTGGTAGGCAATTCACATCGTTTGACCACACCTTCAGTTTGTATGGGTCCTTTCCATCGATCAGCTTTAACTTATCATCGTATCTTTTTCTCTCAACCCTGTCCAAACTGTCACGGTATAACAGCTGTGTTTGCTTATCTGTCCTGATTTTTGTATTCCGCTTCCTTAGCATTCAAACTATGCTTCCAAGATGGCGGCGCATCCGAGCACTTCGTAAAAACGGGATGTGACTGCAAAGGGGTCTATTAAACTTGGAACGTAAGTAAACACTGAATCGTAAACAACGCCATATCGCGACATACTGCAAAGTATCTGAGATATTTGTGCAATAAAATTTATTTGAATTTGAATTTGAATTTGACAGACAGTATTCACTTGCGTACGTGTGAACGCTCCGACTCAATTAGGCCCGAGCCAAATCTAGCCCATTTGGCTCGAGCCAAACCATGCCCGTGTGAACACGACTTATGTCCCCGGGGTACTGCCGGAACGCACGCCGAATTTTTCTATCGGGCTTTCCTACCTGCTCTCTTATTCATGTTGTTTGCACAGGCACTTGGACCGTTTCAATAATGAAATGATGGTTAATAAATACAACTTGTCAGTACTACTACTAGACCTACCAGTACCAGTACCAGTATTACTAAAGGCCAAGACACACTGCAGCGACAGCGACCGACCGTAACGACACATGCCAAAGTCGCGGCGACTGGCGCAGCCACACTGCAGCGACAACGACCGACCGTAACGACAAACGACAAAAGTCGCGGCGACTGGCGCAGCCACACTGCAGCGACAACGACCGACCGTAACGACAAAGTTCACCCAGCACTCACCACAGTGCCAGTGCCAGTGGCACACATGAGCAAACGGCAAAAAACTCCTGCTGCTGCTTTTAAATAAATTGCTGTAAAAACGCTCTATGTATAATGATAATATAATAAAGTAATATATACGCAGCATATTATATGAACGTTTGATGGCTGACCGTAGCCTTGCACGTTTTGGTTAGATGGGTTCGTGGCCCCACTGTTTCTGACAGGCGGTGCGAGTTTAGCGCTGGGGACCAGTCTACTTCCTGGCTAGCATTGGTTTATAATTTTATGACGTAATGGCAATGTCACGTGCCGATGGAAATGTGAACAGTGAACACCCCCTCCCGCACCCTCCCCCCACTCGGTCGCTTCGCGCCCGAGCAGGGGCGTGTACAGGGGGGGTCCAGGGAGTCTGGACCCCACCTTGCTCGCGCAGAAAACGCATCTGAGGGGGTGTAATTTTAAAAAACCTTAACCCCAGACCCCCCCTTCACGTGCTCGCAACTTCGGGTTACGGTTAGACCCCACCTGGTACAAATCCTGTTCACGCCCCTGCCGAGCAAATTGCCAACATTGAAAAACGAACCCCCCCAATACAAAGCTGGCTACGGGCCTGTTATAGTTATGATATAACATTTGAAATCCTAATAATCATATGTTTGTGCAAGCTTTGCTTACATCTGTTTGCCCAATCTCAACTCAAGATTGGTTTCCCAAACTGCGGATGCGCTAAAATTCCAAGTTTGGGCAAGATTCCAAGTTTGGGCACAACAACGATACGTTTAGTCCCGTTACTCGTTAGTTCTTACTTTTAATATAAAAAAATGGCAACAAATTTTTTCTTAATTTTACCATAGAAAATTCGTGACGTAGTCAATTTAATCTAGGTTCATACCAGAGTTAAATTTTAACTCAGAGTTAGGCATATTTAACTTAGAGTTAAAGTTAATCCACGACTGTGGAACGGCATTCTCTGAGGAACCGTCATCCGTATCCACATCCACGTCTGTGGAACCGGTAGACGGGTACCCAGTCCCACCTCTCGGCTTAGGATTCAAGCATACTCTCTCGGCGAGTAATCAAGGTGGGAGCGAGTACCAGTCTATGGAACCGGGTCCAGGCTTGTATCTTGTATCTTGGTACCCTCTCTTGTATTTCACAAGGCACTCAATTCTACGAGGTGCGGGGTGTATCTAGAGAGAAAGAGATTTTAGCCGCCTCCCGTTCTCTAGATATTAGTGTTTCTAGTCACCAGTATTTCCCGTGCGTAATCTAACTCTGGTTTTAATAGCCTGTGGTTGTCTCCAATCCAGTTTTCTATTTTTGTCCCTCCTTACATTTATTATAGCTATTACAATTATATAATTGTTCCATGTCTTTTTTTATATTCTTAGTACATCTATTACACATATTGTCACTAAAATTATTTTTAAAGTAGCCTTTGAGATCAATCATACACGTTTTACATTTAAATGCAAAACACGAATCAGTAAATGATAACTCTTTTATGTAATCCTTCAATCCGTATGTTCCAATGTTTATCATGTTCATTTTTGTTTTATCAATAGTTTTCAATTTGTCTCTTTTAATTACTCTTTTTAGAATGGCATCTTTGACTTGTTTTTTCCAAGCTCCTTTTGGTTTTATTCCTATGGCTGTAAATGACACTTCCAGTTCGTACTCCTCTAGGATTACTAAAATTTCATTTCCCCAATTTCTTCCCTCCCCTTTGATTTGCTGTATAAATACTCTCTTCATTAATCCTATGATTAATCTATTGTTATTTAGCTTAACTATGTATTGCAGTAGCATGAGTTTTTTGTATCTTATTTTATCTGCTATTGGTAAAATTCCTAACTCTATCCTTAGTGCTTCCAGCGGTGTTTTACTATGAGCTTTTATTATTTTGCGCATGTAAACCATAAACACACAAACATGCAAACACTCTGAGAACAATATATACAGTGGTGCAGCGGTGGCGTTTCACTTCTCTGTATATATTGTTCTCAGCAAACACTGAGCGGGCGACCGGAAGTAACTCGTGCGCTAGATCCCGGCATGCAACTGTACCCCCCAACCTTTTCAAACATGGCGCGGAATTGACTATATTTCTTCTAACTTTATCTATTGATACAACTCTATCCATGTTTGTTAATTATCGCCGTTCTACATTTGCGTGAGATATTTAGGTTTTACACAAGACGACCAATAGGTTCTGCATTAAGGTGAGTATCCTCGCGCAAGTAATGACATTGACATTGTAAATTAACCCGCCACTCGCCAGCAAACGCTCAGCCACAGGCACTTGGGCTGAGAGGGTCTTAGCTCTAGTACTATAGCCGCTTACATTAACTGCCGCTGGGCTATAGACCGACCCATGGGGCATGCAATGGACCAACGTACTCCAGCCAGTCAGCGGGAGCTATGTATTTCCGCATGTAGAGGGGTGGGCGGGTTGTGTTGGTTGTGGACAAAAAC